CGAGTTAATTATTCTCCAATTATTTTAATTAGTCGTTTAGCGAATTAATCGTTTTCTTGTATTTTTCTCGCATTTGCGTTTAATATAGTTTCTACACAGTAAAAAACATTTTGTATTTATGTTAAAACGAATCCTTGTTAAAATTTTTGTGTTGAATTTTTATCCGAATGTATTGACTTGATAATATTTAAAAAATGTTAAATTTTAATTTAACACAAAATATTTAAATAATACCATGTTTAAATAATACAAAATTTATAATATAATGTCATTATATTATATTATAAATTTAACATTTCTCGATATAATAACACAATTTATAGATAAGTAAACAAATAACATAAAAATAATGCAGTTTTAAAACGTAAATTGTAATAATAAATGAATAAAGTATATGTTAATTTAATATATTATAAATGTTAGTTTTACTGAAGAAATATTTTCTGTACAGCTAGTTACATATTTTATATGAAAAAAGGTAACAGATATTTTGTGTTATTTTCTCTTTATAACGGTAAATATCTGTTAAATCTATATATTGCATACGTTAAATATCACAGAGGCATCGTTTAAATTAAAAATGTAAAAATATCATCTAATTTCAGTTAAATTTAACATTATAAATGTGTCAATTTAATAAAATTTATTTTTACTTTTAAATTGTGTTAAAGTATTAGCTTCTTGTGTTAATTTTTTACATAATATTTGTGTTATTTTCTAACATATTCCTCTTATGGAATTATTAATAATTATAATATAATTAAATTGACACAAAAATTTGGGTGGACCGTTTGGGACATGTGAAATGTATTAAATTTAACACAAAATTTTTTACTGTGTATGAAAATACCGTACTATCTTGTCTCTAATTTTTACTCGAATAATTAAAAAAAACTTACACGCCCATCGTAATGCGGACCGCTAAGAAAACGTCTCTTCCTTTTAGCATTATGCTCTTGCCTTTTCATTTCTTTCAGCCTCTCTATCGCCATATATAGTCGAAATATTAAAACCTTATCATTTCCAGATGCATAAGCGAGCGTAAACTTTTCATTCGAGAGAATATGTCCTCCTCTCGCGTCACAAATTGCACTTAATTTAACATCTTAATTGTATTTTTCGCGTTTACAATTCTGTTTCTTCGCGACGGAGTAATTCTCACTTTGCGTGATTACGCAAAACTCATCGGGATTATTAATTTTTCTCAGACGCGATAAAAAATTGGCCTCGCTTATCTACATGGAAACGGTTTAGGTTAACGTTCTCGCACAATCGCTGAGTAATATAAAGCAGTAATGACACACGCGAAAATCTGTCCATTGCGAACGTCGACATTGTCCAAAGTAAAAGTAACAAAAGTACCACCGAAATTAATAGTTTCTTTAATATTGTTAACATTCCCGGATGTGCTGCAGAATAAGAATGTCTAGAGTGCATTTAAATTGCTAGACCGATAAATATCAGCGATTATTTTATTCGCGTTTGCCGCATTGCTCGATTACTCGTCCCGTGACAATGTCGGCGTTCGTACTATTTAATTTGCAAATATGCACACGGCTAGGTCATTTTTATATCGCTGGATCTAAGTTAAGGAGATTAGGGCTTGTTCAATTTTCAATTGGATAAGGTAGCAAGAAACGGATATAGCTATCGCGCGATCGAGTTGTAAAACGAATTTGCCAAACTATATCGAAATGCATATTCCGCAAGCGCAACTGCATCGTCGTTGTCGGGCGACTAGTTTCGATCGTACGATCAGGATCGATATAACGATTGTTATCCTCCTTATTACAACTTTGTTAATCAACCATTATTGCAAACGCGTCTGACGCTCGTGCCGTCGTCGGCACGCTCGCTAACATCGATGATATATAATTACGAACGAGTAGCAAAAATATTGCTGTCTCCCTGTCTTGATTAAAACATCTGAAGGTGGGGAGAGTATGTTTCCCTCTCAATTATCTAATTCAACGTTTACCTCGCGAGAAAAACATGATGTCAAATCAGGATACGTGCTCCGCCGGCGGAACAGGAATAACAGCCACGTTCATCATCTTCTTTATTCACGTCACGCTGGAATTCTGAACGAGTGCCTACTATATATACTTAAGCGCGTTTAAAGAGTATCTTTGATAATGACCACTCTACCGACTTCCATCTCCCAATTTCAACATTTCAAAGAACGTAACACGACAGAATTATAATTTATTCCATAGAATGAATATCTTGGACTGAATCTCGGCTCCGAGTGTATTCTGCTTTTCCTCTTCTTCCATTTTTTTTGTACGTTGAAGTTACAACTCCGAATATGATTCTCGCAAAAGTCCAGTAGACCATGTACGCCGTATATCGTGGCACGAAATTAATAGTTTCGTCTGGAACGTGTTTGACATTGCATGTCTATGAATGTGTGTGTATGTAGATAGATATATATATACTATATGTCGTTTGATCAAACTGAATCGGGCAAAAACGAATCCCTCGCCCTTTGATCACAAATTGTTGACATAAATTTTGGCAAACACGTGGCACCGCCCGGCGACAGCTTACTCTCTTTCTCTGTATTGGAATTATCCGTAAGTATACTTATATCTTTGCGAATAAGATTTACGGTGGGACACTAAAAACACAGATTATGTTACGGCAGAGAACCAATCAATCACAATAATCGTAGTTTCAAATTCTCTCGTTTCAATTCTCTACAGCTTATAATTATCACTATATAAATTATATGTTTCTCGTGTTACGTAACGACTCCTTTGCATCCTTTAAATGTACAATTACTCGGAAAACATTCGACGTATCTTACGGAATTAAAGGAACGACATAAGCAATGCATCTTATTATACGCGAGACTCTAATCGTTTTGTATGAGACAGGTTGCTCACGATTATAAAAATAATTGATTATCCATTATTTATATGATCACAGAGGGGAAAATTAAATGGCGATGGAACCCGACGTAGGATAAAGAACATGCAACTATCGCTATATTATATCATTGCAATACATATATAAAAATATGCCTTTAGACGTATTATTCAATGTTACAAAAAGGTTTTGAACACAATAGAGGCAATGGATCTTCGCATCATAAAACGAAATATTAGTTAACATTAATCTAAGCATTAATAATAATCCGATAATAATCCAATATCAATCTACACATATTATGGAAACTTTTTCATCTTCGTTATAATAATGAGCGCGTGCGCGCGCGCGCACTGAACTAAGAAACAATCCTAATAGCCGAAACAGAGACGTGATAAATTATCAGTTGACAGGAGGAACAAACAACACTTGCAAAAAAAAAATATAAAAAATGATTATTAAAATTATTCTTCTTCGTTTAGTTAGACAATTCGTTAGTAAAACCATATACATAATAGCTAATACAAAGTTATGCGAATATGATCGATAATATATATATATATATATATATATATTTATGCGTATAACTAGTCAATAATTCTATATGTTACATATATAATTAGCAACGATGTGAGATCTGAGAGCACGACTTCAAACTCAATCGACACGGTTCCATGGGAAACGCACATTCTAATATGATGATTTTTGGTTTTGAACAAAGTCTAAAAGTACAGTGCCGACGAGACATTAGACGCGTTAAAGCTACGTATTGTGTTAACTTACAACAAAAATAAAATAGAAGAGACGCGCGTTCCTGTGTGTGAGAGATACAGTGCGAATAAAAGAACAGCAAAATTTTCTCTTTTTCTAAGTACAACTGAGATAATTCTAAGTATTCAGGCTGAATAAGATGTACATTTGTCTTGACGTATATATATTCAAGTGACGCACATCATACTTTGTTGATTGCACACCGAGTTTCAAAAACTACTAAGATTATAACAATAACGAAGCCAATAGATGAACATTACGAAAAATATGACAAAGAACAACTGACGGATTTTGAAACATATCGCTTTACATAATTGCACGAGAAAAAAATATAGTAACGTAAAAACGGCATTGCTTCTGGTAAGTTACACGAAAGCTGTACTGATTTCACTTATTGTTAGTCTTAATAGCATAACTTCTCGAAACGGTAAATACATTGCAGTACATGTCGTCAACAGAATGGATTCGCTGGGAAACAGGCCGTGTCCATGAAAGTTCGTCTTAAATAATAACGTAATAATGTAAAGCGTGAATATCCCTAAGTATAAATTATATATCGTATAAAACAACGTTCTTTAAAATAAAAAGATAAGCGCAGAACTGTTGCATAATACATTAAAATTATTGGATAAGCTTCATCGGCAGACGAAATAAAAGTTGCGAGAGTGTGCGCAACGAAATTGTATAAATATACAGTATATTGGCTAAAAAATCGTAACTTTTGTTTTGCTATTTACATTCTGAATTTGATTACTGTAGTTGCTGCATTTACGACCGATGCGTCTACGCAACGTAGTTGTAGCGACATTACGATATTGTTGTATCAATTCGGCGTCATATCTGTTCAAAATTCTCAAGATGGACAATCGGATTGATCGTTGAAATTTTTCACGCTTTCTTACTCTATCTATCTTTTCCGTTGATGTCTTATCTCATCTTTCAATTATCAAGGAATTATTGAAACCTAGTAATCGACGTTTATCTCTAGTTTCTTAAAACACATTCGGTATTAATTTGCAATGCTTTAAGCATAATTAATTATGTTCAAAGATCCGTTGTCACGCTAAATGCTCGTCGTATTCACTCATATATTCCAATGAAATTCTTTACCAGAGACCCATATAATAAGGCACGCTTTTTTTGCCTGAGAAGGCACTGAAATATAATGTTTATACTTACGTACAGCTATAAATCGCATTGCATACATGTAAATCATGCAAAGGAGGGAGATATATTTGAAACGAGATACTATTGATCGAAGATTATTGTGCATCAAAGTTTATACAATTTTATATTTTATAAATTTACAGTTTTTTTTTCCTACACTTTGCCAAACAATTCTTTTTAATCTACTTGGTTCTTTTTGAAAATTTAAACTCGCTGATATATCGTCAATCATAAAAATAAATTTAGTCTTTTCCTCGCATCTCTTCCATTCGTGTATTCGAATTCACGTTTTGCTTATTTCAGCGATGATACAACCATAGTTTTTTGTTTCTCAAACGGAAATTCCCTGAGTTCTTTGATTTCATTTTCTTTAGTTCTAATATTCGAAATAAACTTAAAACTGCGTTAGCGGATGGAAGTAATGATTAATTAAGTAAGGATAATAGTTGTTCTTTCTTTTTTCTTTCTTTAAACGCAAGGATATTTCCAGTTTCACTTCTAGAAAAGCATATCTCAAACATTGTAACAAACCAATTCAATTTAATATACGTCCTCCTCTTAATAACAATAATCTATATAATGAAATCTATAATGAGTCGAATAACAATGAGATTAAAATAGTACAAATTGACTTAAAATTTTCCGCGAGCGAATATTAAATCGCGCCCGATCCGTACCCACCGGGACCAACTAAATCTACATTCACTTCCAAGGGATGGACACACGGTGATGATAGTCCTGTAGCTTGCGTCTCATCCGCACTTTGTCCGCCCGATGCGCACAGTTCGAGACAGGACGTCGAGGTTGCTTGAAACATATTCAGAGTCTCGTTTGCACTCATTCTCCCGGGGTGATTCCACAATCGCGCAGTCTTGGCTAGCAGCTCGGTCGTCTCGACGTCGTTCGCGTGCGGCCGTTTGTGTAGTAGATTCGATCTTTTCCCCGCGGCCGACGACGACGTAGCGATCGGTCGCTGATGCGCAGCCCTACGGGGGAAACGTTTGGGAATAGTGATGGCAGGAAAAAGGAAGACGGTGCTAGTACCCATACTCCATCACATTTTTGAGTGTCTCACTGTTGTTTTAAACAAAAGAAATCTGAAATTGACAGACGCGTGACATAGGCACCGGTTTTTATAATCAATCGAGAAAAAGAAAAGATTGAGCAGAGACAAATTCTGTTTGCTTTTCACTTTTAACTAGGCAATATTTAGCGTACTCTTCAGATAAAAATGAGAAGAATGACAATTGATAGCGATTTCGAAATGTAAAAATAATTCTCTAAATAGATGCTAACACAGATAGCTAAGATAGCAGCAAAGGAGTCGTTAGTTGGGAGTCGTTAGGTAGAGAGACGATGCGATCGCTATATGCCAGATTAATCAATTGGTCGTTAAAATTTTTGTGCGTCTCTCTGCTGCTTCATTCTCGATCACATGTTTTCGAATAACAACGACAAACGCACCTATGAACGCTCGGAAGAAAGAACAAACAAGGGCGAGAGAATTTCAAAAATTGAGAAAAACATAACCGGGTAAATATATTAGATATAGCTCTATT